GAGTTTAAATACTCCTCTCCTCTTCGATCGAGACCGTCTGTTTGTGTTGACATGAATCGAGGAGAACCATTCGATAATTTTTTGTTTAGGCTGATGGCGTGGAGGAATCTGAACCGTCCATCGTGATTCATCTCGTTCGTCCAATCGCGTCTAAAGAGAGAATGTATCTTGGTCATTCACACATGTGGAATGAGGTCAGGACCGTCGAATTGTCAGGCACACGGATCACTCGCGTGGCTTCTTGCGTGTTGCCGATGTCAGCTTGCCTGCCACGCGGTGTACTCTGGTTAGCTCAGGTTGTTGATTGGGTCGTCTCACGTGGTCAAACTTTTTTTTATGATTTAACTCCCTATTTTCAATTTTTCTTTCAAAAACACCATTCGAATTCAAAATTTCACCCATTTTTTTTAAAAAATCATTTTTAATTTTGTCCATAATCTATTTTTTCTTAAAAATTCACTAAAATTAAATTGAAATAAAATAAAATTAATTTTTATAAATAAAAAGGATTATCCCAGACCAATTTTCGGGTTCGGGTATTATAGTGAAACTTATACTATCGTTGAGTAGTGTTGAATTAAATTTTCAAACGCTGAGACGTTATCTAATTTTTGAGTATTAAAGTGTTTCATACGAACTATTTTGATTCTCACGTGTTTGTTAATATTTGAGGATGAATGATGGAATAGGCATTTAATTTCTACAGTTCATATTAAGGTGATTTTGCAGCATCATATGATTAAGAAAACTAAACTCCCATTATAACGATCCCGGAAATCTAAAAGGAAATATATAATAATTTAAGTGTGGAAGCGAAATAGAAGGTTAAAGTTTACATCCCTTACACAATAACTTAAAATACGAAACAAACATCACAGAATGAATACTCTGAAAGAAACACGAGAAATAAGAAAAGTAAAGAAAAATATAAAGTATCTAACATCTACTCGCAATCTTTTTGGGGATCGAGCTCGGGAACTAGATCCTCTTTATATGAAATGGTTAAATAAAGGATGAGGTACACTAGTCCAATAAGGACATCACACTATATCACCGGCACAGAAGTAAAGGTTGGTAGAAAATCAAAACAACTAATGGAGCACTAAATTTAAACCAATACATTTATTAAAAATAAAACCATTTACCCTTTACTTACCATTGGGGAATTTATGAAAATAAATTATAGAAGCAATAGTATCATACAGATCATAACTTCATGCACGATCAGCAACATAGAACATATCATAAATTCACATTCATTAACAATAAACTAAATCATAACCGTTTCTCGTTTCACCAGCCTACTAGTATCCATAGGGATCCATAGGGGTGTCCCTGCTACACGTGAATCCTTTTCCTTAACAATCTTAATTACAGAGCCGTCCCCATACCCCGTCTGGTATAAGTGCCAAGACATTAAACCTCAATACCCCGTTCGGAATGAGGGTGAAGCGGTCGTCCCCATACCTCGTCTAGTATGAGTGCCAAATGACCAAGTCTTCATACCCCGTCCGGTATGAGACAACGTTCACGGTAGGGTTTCCTATGAACCCGATCTGTCCACTATCTCCCAAAATATCTAGTGAGACTATCATCTTATCTGCTTATTAGATCACACCCCTTTCCTATTTTCCCTTAGTCTTCGTTACTAAATCAAATATAATCACATAAATGAATGAACATGCATCTAGTAATGCAATTATATCTTAAATCTTAAAATCGAACGGTGATCAGGTAAGGCAATACTACACACATTTAAACCATAAAATATATAAACCAGAAACCATCATATTTTTAGACTGCAAAATAAATCAACAGATATCAATAGAGAACAATGTTCGGTTCGGGCTCCATTAGTAATCCGTGATTAATTATGCACATCTATTTAATTTGTACAAAATACGGTATTTTTATTTATTCAAACTTTAATTCTATGATAGGAAATAGGGTGAGGGGTTCTTACTTGATTTGACACCGAAAAGCTAAATGGTTTACTGCATCTACGGACGGTCCTTGGATTTCTTGAATTTTTTTTTTGGAACTAAAACGCGCTTACAGTACCTACAAATGTCCCAAATAAATCTAAAAATTAGTCCCAGAGCCTACTCAGCTAATTTTAGAAATCCGGTACGGTGGCTCCGCCGTGCTCCGGCGACGGAGCTAAAGGGTCTCAGCGAGCTGAAAAAACACAAAAAACTGAAACTCACCAACGGCGGGGCTCTCCGGTGCGGCAGCTCTTCCGACTCATATTGCGGTTGGGTGTTTCACTTCGGTCAACCTGTAGAGAGAAAAACAATGATCACAATGGTGGAAAAATTACATGAAACGAGAATCGGGAAGGACCTCATCAGAGGCGGTTTGTGAAATTTTTCGCGGCGGCGCTGCCGGGCTTCGACAGTGCTTTCCGGTTAATTGGCCAGTTTTTTCACTCCGATTTGGCCATGAGTGGGTTTAAAATTGAATTTTGTACAAAAGGAGAAATTTTTACCTTTTTTGGCGGTCGAAAAAGGTTCCGGTACGGCAGCGGGTGACGGCGGTCGGCTCCCCAGCGGCCGGCTTCCCGGCGGCTAGGTTGTCTTCTCCAGCGAGGGGTTCTAGTGGCTAAGGTTAGGGTTTGGGTGCGGATGGAGTTACTTATGCCCATCCGCTTTTGATATGACCGTCTATCGCTTTTGATCTGAATCGTCCGATCGCGATTAAATAGAGACTGAATCTGGACCGTTCATCGCGATTCAATCTGGACCCTCCGTGCGCGATTCAATTTGGGCCGTCCGTGCGCAATTCAATCTGGACCGTATGTGCACGATTCAATCTGGGTCGTCCGTGCTCGCGGGAACGGACCTTAGCCGTTCAATCTTGTGCACGCGGATCGACCACGTGGCTCTCCCCCGCGTGGCCTCCTGCGTCAGCACCTCTGCCACTTAGCGCGTCCTGGTTGGTTGGGGCTACTGACCGGGAGTCTGACGTGACATAATTTTTTTAAATTATATTTTAACCATCCGGTTTCTGATTTTTCTTTCAAAAATATTCCCAAAACTCAAATTTTTACCCTTTTTTTCCAAAATTATTTTCAGTTTAATCCTTAACAATTTTTTTACTTCTTTTTTCATTAAATTAAAATAAATAAATAAATAAATAATTATATTTATAAAAATAA